GGTTTTAACTTAATGCACTGTTACTGAAAAGACTCGGCTGGCCCTTTAAAAATTTTTTTTAAAGCATTTTATTTATTTAGTAAATGCTTGAGACTACCAAATGAAAACCATATTCAGTGTATAATTTTTTCGTCTATGAAACTTAGCAGGAATATTTCAACAAACAACAAAAGGAAGTGACTTATGGTTGGACCATTAATAAGAAATAGATACTGCACTGGCATCTCAATTTCAATTTTCAAAATAAAGAGATTTTCAAACTATGGAAAGGGCTACTAAGTGAAGTCTTGTGCTCTGTAGGGAGTCTACAACACAGTACTCTTTTGTCTGAGAAAGCCCTTTTTTTTCTGGCAATAAAGTATCATCTCGCTTCCTTCTCCAGTTTCTTTCATTTTACTGCTTGCTAAGCAGTTAAAGCATATCCAACACACTGATGCTATTTTGCTTTATTTCATTGTACATCACCTTCAATCCTCTCATCACAGTCTGTGAGGAGGAAAACTAGCTTTTCAGAATACTTGAGTAGTAAAAGACTATCCCTCACTCACACACTATATCTAAACCAAATCATTAGAAATTATCCATTAAAATTATATACAAAGCTGGCTACCATAGATATCAAGCTGAAATTCAGCGGTAGATCAGAAGTATTAATTAGGTGTAACTTTTACAGCCTCATTCTCCAAATCTTTGGACGTAGATTAAACCTCTCCCATGTCATCCCACAGGTTGTGGCAGAAATGGCACAAGAGGGAGGATTAGCTGTAAGCCCCATCCTTTGGCTTCTGATGGCTTGATTCCGTTACTGTTAGATTAGAGATCAAAACATTCAGTCTTTTTTATGGCTGACAAAATAGATCTAGTTTTACAAATAACCTGGCATCAAACAGCTGAGAAAATTAGCTAGTTCACACTGCAGAACAAAACAATTTTGCCATGGCATAAAAGAGCCTTTTTCTGTTAAATACCCAACAGGTTCAAATATCTGTAAACTCAACCTCTTCTACAGAGCAAATCCAAATACAATTAAGTGCTTTATGACCACTTCAGGCATATCCCCAAAAGCTATAAAGCATCCAATAGAGACTTACTACTTCAGTCAGGATTAGAAATCCAAGTGAATCATATTTTTTTACTGGGGAAAAAAACCCCACTGCCCTGTCCAAAAGATGCTTTCAAAACAATAAAGCATTCTAAATGCATTTTATACCACCAAATACTTCTTTCAAAACCTATTAAAAAACTAAAAGCAAATGCCACCATGGGCACAGTGGTCAGATCATTTCAAGACTCAAATAATATTAATTTCTATTTATTTTCCAATATTTACTAGGGGAAGAACTTGTCCTGACTCAGTGTTTCAGATGACACCAAGTTGGGTGGGAGTGTTGATCTGCCTGAGGGTGGGAAGGCTCTACAGAGGGATCTGGATCCATGGGCCCAGGCCAACTGTATGAGGTTCAACAAGGCTCAGGGTCATGTTCTGCACTTGGGTCACAACAACCCCACACAACTCTACAGGCTTGAAGACGACTGGCTTGGAAGCTGCCCCAACAGAAGAGGACCTGGGGATGCTGGTCAACAGCTGGCTGACTGGGAGCCAGCTCTGTGCCCAGGTGGCCAAGAAGGCAAATACCATCCTCGGTTGTATAAGAACAGTGTGGCCAGCAGGGACTGGGAAGTGACTGCCCCTCTGTACTGCTGTGTTCAATACTGTGTTCAGTTTTGGGCCCCTCACTACAAGGAAGATATTGAGGTGCCAGAGTGAGTCCAAAGAGCAACAAAGCTGGTGCAGGATCTGGAACACAGGTCTTACGAGGAGAGGCTGAGGGAACTGGGGTTGTTTAGCCTGGAGAAGAGGATGGTCAGGGGAGACCTTATCGCTCTCTATGACTACCTGAAAGGAGGTTGTAGTGAAGTGGGTGCTGGTCTCTCCTCCCAAGCAGCAAGTGAAAGGACAAGAGGCAAGAGCCTCAAGTTGCACCAGGGAAGATTTAAATTGGGTATTAGGAAAGATTTCTTCACTGAAAGGGTTATCAGCCATTGGAACAGACTGCCCACAGAAGTGGTTGAGTCACCATCCCTGGAGATATTTCAAAGACATGTAGATCTAAGCACTTAGGGATGTGGTTTAGTGGCCCTGGCAGTGTTCCGTTATGGCTGGGCTAGATCTTGAAGGTCTTTTCCAACCTAAATGATTATGTGAACACATTTAGTCCCAAGTGAGTTGTCTTTATCTCCCATTGCTATATATTTCTTATTTTAAGAATTCATATAGAGTATTGATGAATATTTGTAAACACAAGGATAGACATAAAAGGCTGAAGCCTTGCAATGATGCAAATGTATTTAATCTAATGGAGTGACTTTTTTCTTCAGTAAACTTGCATTGAGAAAAGTCCCCTTGAAGAAAAAAAGTTTCCCCAAAAGCAAAGTACACTTGCAGTGGAAGTCAGGTCAACATGTCAGGTACTAACAATAGTAAAACATGAATGAATTAGCACTGCTTCTTACCAAATGTCAGATGACAAACAGCTGGAAGTGCAACTTTACATATACTGCAAAAGAAGTTTGAGCAGTTTCTTCAGTTGGTGAAACGGAAAATGAAAGACAGAAGAAACCAAAGAATATGGTTAACCACAAATTATCAAGATGAATACTTAAGTCACTATTTTTACAATATGAAAAAAGGAAGATAGGGAAATCTGTTCTTAACGTGTTGAGGAAAAAGGATTTTTGAAACAATGAAGGAGAAGGGTCAAAGTCAAAGCAAATGTTATTTTCAAAAATATCACCTAAATAAAGAAACATCCCTATGTAAGTATCAGTAAACACCATCTGCCCTGTTGGGTTTATGTCATCCATGAACAAATATCCCACAGAAATTAAAAACCGGGATTACAAAGGAAATGGAAGTGACATCAAGAGTATCTCTCAGAACGGTCTCTAACACTAGAAATAACTTGTACAGAATCCTAGATTAAAGTGGTAAATTTATATAAGATATAGAAACAGACAGAATGAGTAAAAGGATGGGAGAGGGAAACAATTAATTACAAAGAGAAGGAGATGGGTAAAAATTAAAGAGAAACACAACTCGAACGAGTTTTGTTACGGGAGTAATTTTAAGAAATATGAGCTAATACAGATAAAGGCAGGAGTTATGGCAAAAGTGATTTTGAAGGTCGACTAGGTTGTGTTCACTGCTTCAAAGCACACTGTTTCTGCAGTTGTCTTCAGAAAGTCACCGTACCTAGACTAGAATTCTAGAGCCAGGCACACCTCCTAGTGATTTCACACATTTGGTAAATGTCAAATGATCTATGTAATATTAAATAATGTGCATATTCTAACAAATGTCATTGCACTTAAAATTTCCCTTCACACTCTATGACATTGAAATTTAATGAGTTTCTGCAAGGAGACTTTATCCAGCCTTGTCTAGAAAGAGAACCTGAACAGAACACAAGCCAAGTACAAACGCACCAATGTGTATGTCCACCCCAAGTAGTGAAAGGACTTAAGAATATGCAAGTAAAAGTTGTTTAAGAATATAAAGTCAAACACGAAAGAAATGATTTGTCAGATAACATAGGCCACAGTGCCTTTAGGAAAGAAGCTCTGGATGATAGCTGGAAGAGGCAACTGTAAAAGCAGTTTAGTTGAGGTTAGATGCTGCTTTCACCATTGTACATTCATAATTAGGTCTGTTAAGAGAAACAATATTCCACCCATGTCAATACTTTTCTATAGCACCTCTAAGCCTCTTGATCTCAGTCTTTTTTCCCAGTGTCCACACAAGTTTTTGTTTGTCTTCCCTCAATACGTCCAATCTATTTATAAACTGTTTAGGTTGGGGCCACATATTACCATGAGTTTATTAACCAACCAGCAGAAGTGAGCCCCAATTCTGAGGTTTTTCCCCTGGTCCTGCTAGGTCTGTAATGAAAAATGGCCCTCAAAGATGATTAATTCATCATCAGGTAAGAGTTCAACAGTGGTGAGTAAATATCTAGTGGTTAAGTGGATGAAAATAAAACAGCATAAAAATTTCCATTGATTATTAAAAAGACTAGGAGAGTCTGAAAGAAAATGCAGTTCTACAGGAATAAGAGGGCAAGACTTGTCATTCCTGACCTGTTGTGTGCCCATCCTCTTGCATGACTATCTTGTGACAGCCAATACACATATTTCTGTGTCTACCATGCAAGGAATATTTGACTACTTGCACGGAAATATGTTTTCAACACTTACCCAAGTGAACTAATTAAAACCACTAACAAGCATCACTTTAGTCTTCAATATCTTACCTCAACAATCTATCATCTGAATTTTGGATTATCCCTGACAACAACAAAAGCCTTTTTACTTGCATCAAGTTCAAGGTGAAACATATTACAGTACTTATCCGTTTTATAAAAATTTACAGTGTATCAAAAAAACATTTTCCATACTTCAATGGATCAAGTTCATGGCTGCAAGTTATCTGAAACTGTTTTCAATTTACAGAGTAATCCCACAGTGCCAGGTACAACACATCATGAATCAAATCATGATTCATTTAACAAATACAGCATAGTTCAGGAGCACTACAAAAAATTCTATGCAATCACTTGACAAATATGATACTTAAGAACAACAGTAATGTTAAAATTAAGAGAAAATTAATAGCAGTGTTCTGGTCTTGCATTTTTCTGCTTCAAAAATGCTTTGATACGGTTTTCTCATCAAAATTACAGTATGGAACTATGCAAGTATAAGTCATACACTCACAACATAGCTATGCAGACATTTATATGTATTCTTAACATGAATTTTGTATAGATACAATATGTCCCAGTGCTTTGCTGAGACAAAAAAATTCTTTAACAGCAGCTGAAAGATTTATTTCCTAGATCTTTTAAACACTTACATCTTTTTATAAGTATTTTAGATTTAAATTTAATGACAATAGCTGTGTAACACAATCAGTGTTGCACCACAACAGAATTTAAATATACCTGCTTCTACAGGAATTGGTTTCTCCAGGAGAAAAACTGTCTGTTTCCAGTGTGTTTTGGTACACTGGGGACCAGTTGAAAACAAGACCTGCAATGGAAGAGTTCAAGAGTTTGATTAACAACAACATTTTTGATATCACACCACATCAATCAATTACTAAACACACATGCACATGAAGTGTTTGTTACAACAAAACAGACTGACTACCAAACACCTTGAGGCAGAATAAAATACAGAAACACCCTCATCTCTCAAAGACATTTTAAAAATGCATGTGAAATACTCACCTTGTTGTGACAGTTCTTCTCAAAAAATATATCAAAATAACCAGCAACTGCCTATTAAAAAAAGAGGAAAGTCTATCATTAATATATACATTTATTGGGATTTCCAGTCCTTTTCAAGCCTTTACTAAGAGAAACAAGCTTATATTTATGCTTTCAGGCATGTTAAAAATCCCAAGTCAAAAAATAAACCGTCATCACACTTTTGTCCTACTTGAGAATATTCAGCCCCCTGTAACTGCATTTTATTACATATCAAATTCTAATCTGTTTCCAAAATAACTCCCACACCCTAACTACAACTAGAATGACATAGGAGAAAACAGCCTTTCAGATGTGCAAATCCACAAGCACAAAATTCAGTCCTTGTCTCCTCCCACGACTCTCACGAGATACACACAGAGTACGAGGGGGATCCTGCATGACGTGTTCACTCTTTGCATAGCTTAACGCTATTCTCCACAAAAGCTCCCTGTGAACAGAGGTAGAGAATAACCAAGCAGGGAATATTTTTTTGCCTCTACTACACACACAGATAAGGAGAAAGATTCACAAATGCTTCATGCTGGCCTTTCTAGCAGTTAATAGTTTCTAATAGCAATTCTCCATAGGATTCCCTGGAATCCTTCTTCTGTCCCTCCTGCCACCCCACTTCTAACTGCAAAAAAAAAAAAAAAGCCTCTTCAGTGCATAATTCATTAGTGGGACTTTTCTTACAGCTGGAAAAGAAAAACAAAAAGTCTGTGCACAAAACTATACCAACACTACTAGTTACACAGGCCTTCAATGCTGGCCTGCTTTTTTGATAAAAAAAACCCTTACGAGAGTCCTGGAAATTTCAAGAATTCTAATAAAGAACTGGAAGATGCTAATAAAATGCCATCCACTCCACAGTTTCACCTGAAATCTTGTCCATGCTCACCTTCGTTTGCTTTCTACTGTCTCCCTACAAAAAGGCTAAAGCAAATCAGGGTGTGGGCCCAAGGCAAAGTTATGCTTTTCTGTTACATGTCAGCCTGAAGAAATGACCCAGCACAGAGCTTTTGAGTAACTCCATCTACAGCACCTGGGGACTCTATCCCTGGGACAGCAGGAAGGGATTCTCCCCACATCAGCTATAGCACATTCAAGTAAGATATGTACTACGTCAGTGATGGCAAGCCTGCTAACATGAAAACTCACTGCAAACAACTGATGATAACATTTATCTCACAGCACCAGTGTTTGTCTCCTACTCTAAGTCTACAAAACTGGTTGTTCTGAACAGATACAAAGGACAAGTTCTGTAGCAATCTCTTCATATTGACTGAGATAGATTAAGAAGGAAAAAAAAAAGTCAAACATGCCTACAAAATTAAGGTAATGCACTGAATGGCACAAGGCTTTATTACTATGGAACATTTAATATGAACAGTAGCTAAACCATTCTAGTAATTTTCCTCTGTAGTCGAAATCCAGAACTGATTTCACCAACATGGGGGTGATTACAGTATCTTAAAGCAACTAAGTCTATGTTAATGCACCTGTATTAGCTTTTCAACCTAAGGTCACTCCAGATAAGCCTGGAAAGTTCCAAATTCCAATGTGGGTAAATATTCCTTAAAAAATGAACCAAGGAGACGCTGAGGGACCTTTGTGACAAATGAGCACCAGATGTTGGAAACAACGACTCTTCCATCCCTTAAGTGAAGTCTTATCACTCAATGATGAGAATTTCATTCCCAGGTGAATTACAACCTTATCTCTAATATGTCTTTTTTGAGTAAAGATTGAGAATGTTTTGACAAAGCTTTATTGATCCATCAGACTACTTTTATTGATGCACAATCTTTTCTGGACATTAGTCAGAGATTTACTAAGGCATAAAAATAGTTTTCAATCATCAGGTTAATACTGGTGATATGCTTACAAATAAGACCTAGGATATGATAACTGAAGAAAGGAAAACAAGGTCGAGACAACAAAAGTACATTAAGAATTATGGGGGGGGAAAAAATTACTTTCAAAGAAAATGAGACAATCAAGCTACATTTTGGACCAGAAAGCTAAAGGCTCCAAGCAGACATAGATAAATACAATTATCTATATACATGGCAGCAAGAAGTAACGGAAACACCCTTCGTGCTACCCTGAGAAAACATCCCCAGATGAGCATTTTTTTGGGATCAAGTCTGGGCTGAAAAGAAACTGCAGTTAGAAGCAAAGAAACTGTCCCCTGCTATTTTCTACCTCCCATACTCAGGGAAACAGGATTTATACGCCTTCTGTAAATTAATAGGATAAATAACCATCTTATTCCCTACAGTATCAGGGGTTTTCTAACTGAAACACCAACTATCTAGAGATAGTAACGCTAACTATTACACATAAAAGGCCACCTTATGCAGAGCTCCAAGGATCACAGAGCGCAAGTTCAAAGGATTACAGAGAACAAGAGTTCTACATTGATCCATTCAATTTTTTGTTACGTTCTAAAATGGATATATGTCCTTCAACATTGATACTGAAATAGTTGAGCCAAAAAAAAAAGTATGTAGTTAGCTACTTGTCTCGATATTTCCTTTAACAACTCATACAACCCATTCCAATACTTCTGAGTATGAATCATTCAATTAGAAGTTTTATCAAAAGAAACAGGCTGGGCTTCCAGGATAAAATACAGGGAGGGCATGCAGGATCTCAGCATAGCTTTAAGAGTTTTTTTGTAGGAAGCAAGCAAGGAAGGAACTCAAGAGAAAAGGAAGACTCAAATTTGCAGTTAATCCAGAAAACCTTAGTCTAAAGAATGGGTGGGCCTATGTCAAAGCTCTTGACACCCAGTTCAGTGATTTGTTCATACCAGAAAAGAACCTGACAGCTTCTTACAACCACCCAAGCTTTGCTTAAAGTAATCTAGGAATTCAAAGAATAGACCATTATAGCCTTACTATGATGGTCTGGTTTTATTTATCTAACACAGAGCAAGTACAAATTTTAACAATTAATTCCTACCAGGACACTTTAAATCCAGAGTGTAGCTTTTTTTCATTACAGCTCAATATTATAAATCTTTTCAGTTATTCTAGTAGCATCAAAACATTTAATTTTCAAAAAATTGGTGAGTGACACTACATCTTTAATACAGAAAGAAAGCTTTCTTTGCAATATTAAAGTCTTTACTAAACCTGTTTCCCACAGCATTCTCCTGGGGAAACTGGCTGCCTATGGTTTGGATGGGTGCACTCTTCAGTGGGTTAAAAAACCGGCTGGATGGCTGAAAGAATCATGGTGAATGAGGTTCAATCCAGTTAGCAGCTGGTCACGAGTAACATTCCCCAGGGCCCAGTACTGGGGCCAGATTTCTTTAATATCTCTATCAATGATCTGGATGAGGGGATCAAGTGCACCCCCAGTAAATTTGCAGATGACACCAAGTTGGGTGGGAGTGTAGATCTACGTGAGGGTAGGAAGACTCTACAGAGGGATCTGGACAGGCTGGAGTGATAGACCCAGGCCAACTGTATGAGGTTCAACAAGGCTCAGGGTCATGTCCTGCACTTGGGTCACAACCACCCCATGAAACACTAGACTTGGGGAAAGCTGCCCCAACAGAAGAGGACCTGGGGGTGCTGGTCAACAGCTGGCTGACTGGGAGCCAGCTGTGTGCCCAGGTGGCCAAGAAGGCCAATACCATCCTCGGTTGCATCAGAACAGTGTGGCCAGCAGGGACTGGGAAGTGACTGTCCCTCTGTACTGCTGTGTTCAATACTGTGTTCAGTTTTGGGCCCCTCACTACAAGGAAGATATTGAGGTGCCAGAGTCCAAAGAAGAGCAACAAAGCTGGTGCAGGATCTGAAGCACAGGTCTTATGAGGAGAGGCTGAGGGAACTGGGGTTGTTTAGCCTGGAGAAGAGGATGGTCAGGGGAGACCTTATCGCTCTCTACAACTACCTGAAAGGAGGTTGTACTGACATGAGTGTTGGTCTCTTTTCCCTGGTAAGAAGTGATAGGACAAGAGGAAACAGCTTCAAGTTGCACCAGGGGAGGTTTAGACTGGATATTAGGAAAGATTTCTTCACTGAAAGGGTTATCAGCCATTGGAACAGGCTGCCCAGGGAAGTGGTTGGGTCATCATCCCTGGAGATATTTCAAAGACATGTAGATCTAAGCACTTAGGGATGTGGTTTAGTGGTGGACTTGGCAATGTTATATTTACAGTTGGACTCAATGATCTTAAAGGTCTTTTTCCGTTTAAATGATTCAATCTCACTGGCAAAGTATTGGAGGATTCAAAGCTGCTATACAGTTCTAGTTATTTCTCCCCTCAGTGTTTTCCGAGAAGCTTTACATAAAGCATTGAAATTTCTGCTTCTACATGAAACAGTAGTTAAGTCTTCCTTGAAGAAGTTACGAAAAACTAAAATCTCTGCATTACAGAAGCCTATTTCAATACTCCCAAATGCAAGTGCTAAGAAAGCTGTGAACAAAGGTTAGGGTTAGGGTTGGCCAAACCCTTTGGTCCTTGAAGCGGCCTTGCACCACTACAGAAATTACCTGGTACCCCACATTAATGCCTTTGGAAAAGAAAAAGCCAGAAGTACATGCAGATCATACTTTCTACAATTTTATCTACAACCACTAGTCCTGTATGTTTAAAAATAATATCTCACAAATCTAAAACCCTACACAAATCAAAGTTGGAATACCGGATAATACAAAACTAGCTACAAAACTGTGGTTCTGATTATTATCTTTTTAGGAATTTATATCTTACCTTATACCTAAACATTTTTTTTCTATTATTTACTTGGTGGTGGTTTTATGCTGAAATGAACAATGAATAATACGTATCTTTTATATTTAAGTACATTGCAGTGAAATAGTTCTGTAAACTTGAAGTTCAAAATATTTTATTTTCATTTCACTTTTGAACACTACCACAAATTGCAGTAGCTGTAACAGTCAATCACAAACTTCTATTAAATATGCAATGCTACATACAAAGAAAGATATTTTGAATGTTTACAGCTTGAAGGAAGATTCAACACCCCCATCCCCCGCTTCGTGTTGTAAAA